AAGCCAGCTACTGTCCATTTCAGGCTCAGTAACCCTGAAGAGGAAAAAACAAAGGACTAAGCAAAATTCGGACAGTGTCTTTCTGCCACACCTGTATGGTCATTCTTCCCCTGAAGTCAAATGGGCTGCTATTAAAGACTGACTCTGCGCACCAAAACAACAGCAACATTAAAAGGATAATAACCAACAGGGTTACTGTAGTGATAAACCTGAACTGAAAATTTCTCTGTTGAGCTAACTAAGCTAAACATTTAAAAAAGCTTCAGAGAACACTCGAGCGTACAGGAATAGCAGCATTCCCTTTAAAATACTACTAAATGTGGGAAGAGATGTTTCCCAAGGAGTAGTCTAGCAAAGGTATGAGAGGAACTCCCCACCCCACACACACACAAAAGGAGGAGGAATCTTGTTGTTAGGTAAGCTCATGCTCTGACATAATATAAACCCTCTGTCCTCCACCACGTGATCTCACTGCATGACAAACACATTTACATGACATTTCCATTTCCTCTTTTGGGTGACAGTATTATCTGGAGTGGCACGAGGCCTTGCCCTGCCACCACGTTGCTGCAGCATACATATGCTGTACTTTCTGGTGTGAGACTGGAAGGTGTCACTCAAAGGAGAAAAGAGTGGACCTTGGCAGCCATTTTGAACTGCTGTTATATATAAGCCTTTCATAGTCCAAGTCAGATCTCCCTCTCTCTCTCTCCTCCCCCACCCCAGTTTGCACTGGTCACTCATTTACCCCATTTTTAGTCCCAGTGTTGTGCATTAGAAAAAAGGGCATCTGCAAGCAGACTCTTGTCTGGATTGACTTTGGTACCAAAAAAATGCTTTTCCTTCTGCTCTGTTTTATTTTTAAGCTTTCTACCAGACTGACAGCACCCTCAGGGCACTCACATCCAGATTTGTCCTTTTAGATTTTCCAATCTGATGTTTTTTTTACAAAACAGCTGGGCAGTTCATCATCATCGTCACAATTATTATTGTGGTGAGCACTGGAAGAGGCAGTAAGACTGGAGAGGAAAGAAAGAAACAGGATTAATGTGGTGAAGTCTAAAATGGCTGCCTGCAGTTCAAAAGGTGGACGGGACAGACAGAAACTCTAAGCTGTATGCAAAACCACATACCAGTAGAGAGCAAGATGAGCAATGTGAGGTAAGACAAAGAAAAGGAAATGAAGGACACAACATCACAGTGCACTAAAACAAGGAGAGAGAGAGCGAGCAAGCAAGCAAAAGAGACGATTACATAGATTGCCTGCTTCACCCCCCTTCAGCCTTGTGTTTCTTTTTTTTTTTTTAACCCTAGCCGCCTCCTCCTCCTCCATTATTCTCCCAAGAAGCATTGCTTCTCGGCACAAAACAGAATTAACCAGTGCAGCCCTCTGCAACACTGCTCCCCCAGCACTGAGGAAGAGCTGCGCCCCATTGGAGCAACTTCAGAGCTCATGCACCAATAGGAAGCCACCACTAAGGCAGGCGTCACAGGGACTTGTTTTTAACCCTGTTGTGAAAGACAGCAAGCCGCATAACACACAGCGGCTGCAGAGGAAATGCTACAGAGGAGAAAGTAATATGTACCTAAAATTAAGAAGAAAAGGCTTGATGGGTAGCTCAAGGGCACTGAAGATATTAAAAAGATAAATAACACTTTAAGAATTTATTTTATAAAAGATTAATTTGTATTTAAGGAATAAAACATTGTTAATAAAATGCACCGCAACTAAAATGCATATGACATATTCACTGAAGTGAATACAGGTTACATAGAACCACAATGGTAACTTGGCTAACTTGATCACATGAGCACAGCACACACAAAACCTTATTACAATATCAATAGCTACACCTGCCCTCCATGTAATGATACAGAGTGTCATCAGCATGCAAATGGCAAGCTAAGAGGATAGGGTCCCCCCCCCTTTTCCTCACAGCAACAATCCCTGCGCCCTTCTCCCACTGTCTGCACGCAGAGAGAATCCTGTCTTCATTTGGAAATAGGCCAACATCCTGCTTTATTCTCCTCTGCACATAAACATAAACCAGAGTTAAAAACCTCTAAAGATTTTGCATGATCCACAGTTCCTACCGGGGCCAATTATGCTTTCAAGGACATGTCACGAAGCAGTTATACGTCTTTGTCTTAAATTGCTAGGTGAAAATTATTAGGTGAAGCGGAGCATTTCTCACCAACACAAAAACTGGGCCAAGCTAACCTTGTCTGTCTGCACATTCTTCGTATTGCCAAATTTTCAGCGGCCCATAGTGGGAAAGAAGGGTCCATGTCCCTCAGACATTTCCACTCACATGTACACACAAGTACTGATTATTATGCTCTCAAAGACAGCCTAACTGATGTAACTACCCCTACCCCCACCACAAAAACACACACCTCTCGCTAAAACATATGCAAAGCTGCTCGATAGGCCTGGAAAACCAATATGGCAGACGGCTTTCCGACAGAGCAGTAACAAGCAACCCAGCAGTACAGTTTTAGCTTCCCTGGAGTGGTGGGTCAAGGAAGTAAGGTTTGCTGCTGTATGTACTTGCCCCTGTCCTAAATACTAAATGCATTTCTTACTCTCTCCCATGTCTTTGTGTCTGTTAGTAAGTGTATTGTTTGTTCAGGATAAGAAATGGGGGGGGGGGACTGCAGCTCACTCTGTCTATTAAAAGACAGGAAACATATTCAGAGAATGCTAGTTGCAACCGATCAAAACAATCCTTGGAAAACTGGTCTGGCTTCCAATAGTCATACAGATCAATCCAAATACTTAACTCTGGCTGAACAACCCCCAGCAGGGCACGTGTAACCTTTGTACTCATGAAGCTAGGTAAAAGAGGGCTCAGTGGAGAAGAAGCCTCATATGTTTTGTAGCCTTAAATCTCCTTACAAGGTAGATTTTTGTGGTGAGCAACCAAGCAACAAATAACTTAACGATTACCATCTGGGTTCATAGTATAGTATTCAGTTACATAAGTAATTTAAAACTAAAATAAATGAAAAATAATAATGGAAATGAGACAACAAAATAAAGCCCTTGTGAATTCAAGACAGATCTCACGTCCAGTGGTTATGATTCAACTGTCCTACCAAAGCAAAAGCACTGTCTCTCTTCTCTACTTGCTGCGTCCACAGCGCCGAATTTCAGCTCCGCACAATGCAAGCTTATGTGGTGCGACTCAGAGGAGAAACTCTACTCTGGCAACAGTTTGTGTTCCGAAATACGCTCATCATCAAATAAGCCACACAGGGAAAGGTATTGTTTTATGCTATTACTTTGCATAGAGATACTCTAATCTAAACTTCGAAATCGAATAACAATCCAGAGCTTCTTTCCTTCTCACCCCAACGGAGGTGTAGGTGAAAACGAAATACGGTGTCATAATCAAGAAAAGGTTGGGAATGTCAAACACCACAAAGTACGACGTGTTAAAACGTAACAAGAAGTTATAGTAGTCTTCAACTTGAGTAAAAGTTGTGATTGCTACAGTAAGACTTCAACAGTGCTACTCACACGCTGGAATTAAAAAAAAATGGAGGCTAAAAAAGGAAACAAGCGCTCCCCTCTCTGAAATACCACCCATTTCTTTTAACCGCCACCACGGAGACTGGGGGTTGGTAGGTTGGGGGAGGTGAAGAACAGCAAGTCACTACCCAACAACTCTGGTTTTCTGTTTGTTAGAGCCTACATCCACAGAGGAAAAACAAGAGGCAAGAGATATATGGCCAAAACACAACTGAGCTTTTTCAGTATGAACAACACACCCGAGCGAAGCTAGGAATGAGACAAATGCATTAACATGATGTAGCAAACACCACCATGATGTGAGCGCCGTATTTTCCATAAAACTCGGGGCAGAGATCCACGGGATTTCGGCTTGCAAACACATCATCGTGTGTACACACATCAAAGACTTCTCTGCGTGTGCATGAGCTGTAGAATACTGGTTCAAAATAAGGACACAATTGCCTGGAGAACATTCAGAAAGTTAGCTAAAAGGCTAAGTTAGCATTTGTTGCCTCTGCTAACGTTCTCCAACGCAGCAGCTGGCCGCTGAGCTTACATGAGTGGCAAACCATTTCATGACTTTACTTTCAAACACTTTGAGAATTTCGTGGTAACAATGGAAACAATTTAAAACAATGCTGTCAATAAACAACGCAACAAATCGTTTTTGACTTAAGGTGAAACAAGTTTGCATTTTCCTGTGCGCTCTGGTTCTGAACTTTTAAGCCCAACAAACAGAATGCATTTGTATTCTAATCTGACACTAACACAATAACATGCCTAGAAACGCAAAAGTGTAGTGTGCTGTTACTGATGTTTTGAATTTGTAAGGTTAACCACTGCGAGGGCTCGTTATTCAAACTTAAACAACTTGAAGTTTATTTATAAATGTTTGAAAACGACATTAGTTCTCTTGTGGAAAAATACAGTTTACTTAAGTACTCGTGTAACGTTAGAACGACAGCCAACTGGGACACGTTTAGCTTTCGCATTAACACCAATAAAATAATAAGAAAAATAATGAAGGGACCTCTAATGGCCTAAATGCTACACGAGTAAAACTCGTGTTAACTTACATGATGTTACTAACAGATTTACGTACGTAGTTTCAATACTGGTCGAACATTAGAGCTCAACAAAACTAACAGTGTGATGGATTCTCAGACTACCGAGCTAGCTATAAAAAACAACACGAGGAGCCGACGAAAAGGGCACGGAAGTCCAGACACAGCCCGGAGCAGCCCTGTAAGGCAGACCATCGATAAAGGTCGCTTTTTAGCCAGCCAAGCAAGCTACTCTTCTGGAAATAACTTATTGTAATAAATTGAAGTAGGCGCTAGGTACTTAGCTAGCTAAGTTATGTAGCTTGGTAGCTGAGGTGGGTAGACGGAAAACATGGTTATTTGGTGTGTTGATTATAGTTACAAACCCTCGTATATAGCGAGAACTATATAGCCAATTGACACAAATGTTAAGTACTCACCTAAAGAGGCATTCCAAACTTGTATAAACGAGGTAATATAATGTAAAGTAGGAAGTCCTTAGAGCATCCCAACATCAATTCCAATCAGACCAGTAGGCCTGTATATCGGCCTCGGAGTCTCCTGTATCCTTTGCCCTTATAAGTGGCTCCCTCTCCAGGGTTAGGAAACAAACTTCTCAGGGTCTCCCACGCATAGACGGAAAGTTAAATTCCCTGTGCTGTTCACGTGCACTGCATCCATTGAGTATCTATATCAGCTCCCCGGCAAATACATCAGTTTATTTTAGTGTCTTGTATATTTACAATCGCTATTTATAATGGGGCATAAGCTGCTGTATGTGATACAGAGCTCTGATTCTGTCTCGGTCCTTACATTCGCAGAGGCGCCCATCCCCCTCCTCGCCGGCATCGACCGCGGGTCCCAGCGAAACTGACACACAACCACGCCACGGGGTTTCCCTGGCGACCGTGCAGGGGCCCTCTCCTTGGGCGGCCCTTGCTGATGTTTCCCGCCTCTCGTCAGTGATTCGATTCCAATATGTCACTCATGTTACGCACGCGATATACGTGCAAGTCATTGGCGAAAGGCAGCGTCGATTATTTTTTCCTTTTACTACGTAAAACAGGGCGGGTACTGCTTTGAGGAGTGGTGCGAAAATTTCCTTTCATTATATGTGTGTAGTGGTGGTGAACAGGCAGGAGTGAATGGCAGGATCGGGAGATAATTTGATACCCAGCAGAGGATCTGTACCTTCAGAGTTTCGGGAATTGTTCTTTATTAAATTCACATGCCGTGGAATTTATTTTAAGTCGTTAGTGGGATTATTGCTTTTTATTTGTGTGTTACTTTCATCTACTGTGGAAGGAGTGTTTGTACTAATACATAGTAGCAAGCGTTAGCTACACGGGGTCTCTGGGGCCCAGTTCCAGGGACACCAAAGGCAGGGTTAGCCCACTGGGTCAGCCCCACCTACCGATATGTCAGATGAATGGAGTATGAGGTGTCGTTTTGGTAGCGTCTGCTGAGGGGTTGGACAGGGAACTTGACCAGTACTCCTGGGTTGCATCCACTTATTACTGGTCCCTCCTACTTCTGTCCCGCTGCCGAAACCAGTATCTTCCCACACTTGTACAGAAAAAAGTGGCCGTCACAACGAAAACAACGCTAGCCGTTGCTCAATAAATCCACTCCCGGGAGTTATATCCGAAAAATGAGCACCTTCTTTTTCTGTGATTTTAGCATTTATACAGAAGAACGCAGCCGAAGTATAACATTGTCGCCCAGCCTACTACACACATTGGATATACAAAATCATCTAAGGGGATACATTTTCAAAACATACAAGCACACGACGGATAATTTTGCCACATTTATAATCAAACTAGTCACGATGACGCCATTGGTTTGTTATCGTGTCATGAGACTCAGGAGCGACTTTGGATTGGCTACGGTGATAAATGCCAACGTCATTTGTTGCAGGGTCTGACGAACGACGAGATTAGACAGCAAGAATAACACAATTTGTACATTGTACTCTGGGGCTTCTATAATAAAGTTAGCTCTTAGATACTCAGATAACAGAATCGAGAAAAACAATCGACGTCAAAGGATTTGACAGCTCTATTTTGGTTATATTTGACCGATTAGAGTAGTATACCACGCCCAGAAGT